TGTTTCTCCCAACAGGGGAACGGGCACCGGTACCGTGTGTCCCGCGGGGCCCTCCGCTGTGTGGAAGTCGCGGGGTGCTGGCCGGGTGTGGGGTCGTGAGGATTTCTGGCCTCTGTGCTGCTGTACCTGCGGGGAAGTATTGAGGGATCTGCTTTACGAGGGGGTAATGACTTCCCACGAGCTGTGTAGGGCACACGTACTCCGGTGTGCGACACACACACCGCTCCTGCTCTGACTCGTTAGCTGGAAAATGAGAAGAGTCTCGTGACCTTTATTTGTGGCTTTCCACGGGAAGAGCTTGGCTTTCAGTGTTTCCCCCCACACCTATTAAAGAGAAAAATATCCCACTTCTGCTCTTGATGTTTTTAGAAGCAGAGATGAAAGAGCACAGTGAGCCTTGTCCTCTGCTTCTTCAACAGCGCTGCTGTGGGGTTTGGGGTTGCTCAGCTCTTAACCAGAAAGATCAGAGGATTCAGTCTTTAAAATAACATTTTATTCTCCAAAGTATCATTCAAGTGTTTGAGCTGAACAGTTACTAGAAGAGTTCACAGTCAGAATGAAAATCCTCCCTCCCCTCATCGCTGTGTTTGCGTGATGGGTGAGTGGCTCAGTCTGGGTCTCCCAGCCTGCAGTCTTCTCAAATAAGCAGACACATGAACATATGAAACAGTAAAAATACAAACAGTGGACACCAAAGCATAAGAAAGGCAGAAAATCTTGCTAGGCACTTCTGTGGTGCATTTCCTTTGGTCGTTGGACCCCGTGCTGGATGTTCTTGGGGTGGCCCAAGCACCCAACAAGAGCTGTGCAATGAGCAGGCAAAGCTGCTGCTCCTGGGTGAACGTGCCAGAGAAATGAGCAAAGGAGAAGTGCTAAAGAAAGCCTGGAGCTGTCTGAATACCCAGAAACGTGAGGCTGTCCTGGCCTAACAAAGACTGCAGTAACAGGAGAGGAAAAGCTGTCATTCTCCTGGTTTGGGGTTATAAGTTGGCAATGTGTCCTGGTGTGCCTGACCTCCAAGGCCCGCGGTGCCCATTTCTGGGCTCCATTATGGAGCAAAATATTCACCCGCTCCCCAGGTAATGCTCTGATGGGTGTCTCCCTCTTCTTTTCCCAATGCTTCTGTGCTCCTCATCTCCCTTTCCCTTTTCCTGCTTTCTCTGGTGTGGAGACAATGTGGTACTTAGAAAACATTCACAGTGGATTCTCATTCCTATTCCTCCTGCTGCTCCTCTTCCTCCCATCGAAGGAGCCCGTCTCAGTCCTGGGCTCTGTACTTGCCCTTCCCCAGGCTGGCTGGAGACCTTGGCCAAGGCTGTATCTCCATTCCTCCTGCCGCTCCTCTTCCTCCCGTCGAAGGAGCCCATCTCAGTCCTGGGCTCTACTTGCCCTTCCCCAGGCTGGCTGGAGACCTTGGCCAAGGCTGTATCTCCTTGGACACTTCCAGCCTTCATTCTTCCTGGGAAAGACCTTCTTCAGTTACGTCAGCTGAGCTAGTGCAGAAAAAAGTAAGGTCCCAGTTATCCTTTTCACTTCTGCCTCCCAAGGAAGCTCTAGCCCCAGTGATAGGAGTGGAAGAAACGTGAAGCAGTTCCAGTTTCTTTCTCCATCTTCTCAGCAAGTCTTGTCCAGTAAATATCACCAGTCAGAGCAAATCCTTGATGAGAAGGTGCCCCACCTGAGACCTTGGCCCCACTGGAAAGCCTATATCTCCGTCACAGACTTGCTGTGGCTCAGCCCACCCTGCTGCCTTAGGAGAGCTCTCTTCAGCCTGCCCTGGATGGTGCAGAGCACGGCCCTCCGGAAACTGCTGGACAAGAGGAAGAAGATGACTGGGTCAAGGCAGCTGTTGAGGGCTGAGATGCAGAGCACAAGCTCATTAGCCAGATGGAGACTCTGCTTCCAGGGCAGACTAGAAATGATCCCCACTTGTGCAAGGATGTAAGGAATGCGGACAACGTGATAGGGGGTGAAGCATACAATGAAGATGATCAGGACTATGAAGGTCTTGGAGATGGCTCTCGTGCTGGTCTTCTTGTTCAGCTGCTGAGCTTTCACTGAAGACACTCTGTGGAGCTTGGCAAATATCTCACTATAGAAGTAGAGGAAAAGCAGCAGCAGGATGAAGAAAGTGGCTACTGCAACCATGTTAAAAGCTGCTGCTGTGGTGCTTTTGCTCCTGAAGTGGAAGCATTTGTGGTCACAGGGCCCCTTTCCTCTCGTCTCAAAAAAGAAAGGCAGCATGAACAGTGTGTGCACGAACCAAACCACCCCAGAGACCACATTGCTACACAACACAGTGTGAATCCTAAATTTCTGCAGGGGCCAGATGATCTTCAGGTAGCGGTCGAGGCTGATCAGGCTGAGGAATGTGATGCTGACGTACATGTTGAGGTAGAAGAAGGCCCCGATGATGTTGCAGAAGATCAGAGGCTCGCTCTTGCCGTGAAAGGCGATGCGGAAGGGCAGGCAGAGGGAGAGCAGCAGGTCGGAGAGCGCCAGGTTCCTCAGGTAGACGGTGATGGAGGTCCTGCGCTGCGCGCCACACAAGAACACCCAGAGCGCCAGGGCATTGCTGAGCAGCCCGATGATGAAGATGAGGGAGTACATCACAGGGAGCGTCACAGAGAGGAACTCGTCTCGGATCTCAGAGCAGGAGTTGCTGAGTCTGTGCTCTGGGAGCTGGCTGGCAGGAAAGGGGGTGCTCGGGGAGTCCATCGTTAGGGCCATGAATCTGGAAAGAAAAATGCAGAGGTGTTGGAACAGACATCTGCGTGAGCTGATTCCATACAGGCACTGTCACTTCTAGATAGTGAAGACCTCTGCGATACCTCTGTGGTTCCTCGGTGCCCCAGGTCACTGCAAACACAACTTTGCAGTCTCCCAAACTGTTATGTGAAGGCCACCAGCTTGCACAGCACATGGAAAACCAGACTAGGGACTTGGGAGCATGAGTCTGCCAGGCTCACACGCTGGCTTTTTGGCACTGTCTTCTGTCCCCTGGGGCTCAGGCCTGCAGGGAAACCTACACACAGAATCTGCCTGTTCAACCCTGGTGAGAAAACAGGCCGCCACACTCCTACCACAGGCTGGTCCAAGGCTTGGTGACTGGCTTTTCTCATGCTGCTCTGTGCTACTCTCTAAGGAAGGATGTGAGACTGGAGTGGTGGAAGTTGGCTGCTGTGTGCTAGGGTAAGCACACTCTACTAAATACTAAAATCTGGGGTTCCTCAGCAGGGCAAAACGATATTTTTGGTTGTACATGAGCAATCAAATGGGTAGAGCAAACATGAATTCAGACCAGCCACAGCATGACACATATGGGGACCTTGGCGTTGTTGAGGGACAGTGCTGAGGTCTGTCGGAGCTCCCTCTGAGGCTGGGAAATCAAACCCATACCTGGCTATGCCTTCATCACCATTCTGCAGCTCTCACATGGGATACCCGGGCTTGTCTTGGGAGTAAGGCTGCCCCCACCAGACTCTTCCCTCCCACCCAACTCTCTCTCCATGCCCGTCCCTTCTCACCCGGGGATCCCGGCACTCGCAAGGTGCAAGGCATTGGGACAGGGCTGCAGCTCTCAGCCAGCAGTGACAGTGCAGGGGTGCACTCGTGGTCCCCGTGGCTAGGCTGGAGCTCTGACTCTGGGCATGTGTGTGTGCCTCCATGGCTTTGGTCTCAGCTAAGCACACCCTACTCAATACCAAAATCTGGGGTTCCTTGGCAGGGCAAAACCACATTTTTGGTTGTACATGAGTAACCAAATGGGTAGAGCAAACATGGATTCAGACCAGCCACAGCATGACAGAGGGCTCCAACTCTGGGCACGTGTGTGTGCCTCCATGGCTTTGGTCTCAGCCCTTTTCTCATGATTGTACACACAGCCGCTTTTCCATCGGTGGTGCAAGGCTGCTGGGCTCCTTCACCAGCCACGGGAAGGCAGGGAGCAAGCCCACATCAGGGACAGAGGCACTGCACCCATGGTGGCCCCTCTCTGCCTGGCACTGCTGGGGACTGACCCCAGAAGCTCTTCACGTGCCCCTGACCTCCTGTTTCCCCTGGGCAGGGACGGGAAGCGTGGTTCCTTCCAGCCCCTCACCCTTCACTCCCCTTCCTGCTTTCCATGACGTTGAGTTACCCGTAGCTGCAAAAACCTCCAACTTCCTTCCTCTTCTCATGACTTCACCCACAGCCGCTTTTCCATCGGTGGTGCAAGGCTGCTGGGCTCCTTCACCAGCCACGGGAAGGCAGGGAGCAAGCCCACATTGGGGATGGAGGCACTGCAGCCATGGTGGCCCCTCTCTGCCTGGCACTGCTGGGGACTGATGTGCTTCACGTGCCCCTGACCTCCTGTTTCCCCTGGGCAGGGACGGGAAGCATGGTTCCTTCCAGCCCCTCACCCTTCACTCCCCTTCCTGCTTTCCATGACGTTGAGTTACCCCGTAGCTGCAAAAACCTCCAACTTCCTTCCTACCTGCCATAACTTGTCTAACTTGTCTACTCTGCTCCCTTCGTACATCCCCAGCCTCAGGTGCTGTAGGATGGAGGCAGCAGAGCGAGATGGATTTGTGGCTTGAGACACAAGGTGCTGTAAAACCAGCAGGTGTTGAATACCTCAAATTCCCAGTTCTGGTTTGCTGCATGGGGGTGATGCCACCAGGCACCTGACTGCTTCAAGGTGGATCCTTGCAGCATCCCTGGGTGCCTGGATGGACCCAGCACAGTGCCTCTTGCCTGGGGGGCTGTGTTGGTCCCTGCAAGGGCAGGCACGGACCCCTGGGTGTGTGCACAGTCGGATTACCAGTACAAGCACTTAGAGAGCTGTGTGTGTGTCATGCAGGGGTGTGTGCATGTATGTACAGCTCTGTGTGGGTATGTGCATGTATGTCCAACCCCATGGCAGCCTGACCTTCATGTGGGAGTGAGAGTTGGGACAGTGGTACACACTGTGTGTGTCTGCAGGGCTGTGACAGTTTGCCTGAGAGTGCACAGCTGTGCCAGGGTCCCCGTGCCCGTGTGTGACTCCAGCCACACTTGAGACCATTGCGTGGCAGATGTTCCTGCCTGTCCTGGGCTCCTTCTGCTCAGCCCACCGTTCTCCCCACCCAGTCCCAGCCCAGCTTTTCCCACCAGCCATTCCCCCAACCTGAGTTAGTACCCCTGTACCCCCTCAGTACCCCTGATTCCCTCTTCCCCCTCAACACTCACCCCCATGACAAAAACACCCCAATGACTCATAGTAAGAAGAAAAGCCACCCCACAGCCACCTACCTCTCTCAGGACCTCTCCTCTGCTCCTTCCCCCGCTGCGACAGTGGTTCCTGCCCTCACTGGGGCCCCTATAAGCCCTTGGCTGGTGACGACAGCTTTCATGATGACGAATACCCTCCATAGTTTCCCCGCTCCTCCCATGTGGGCTTGATGGGTTTTCCCCTTCTGTTCCTGGAGAGGAGGTGTGTTTGGAGGGGTTTGTCCTGATGCAGGTTCTTCAACGCACGCCATGTACCCGTTTCCCTGAGCAAGCGCTGGCCGTGGCCACAGCTCATGCAAATCAGCCAATTTGGAGATCTGTGGTCCAGCCCAGGGTGTCCCCCTCTCCAAATCGGCTCATTCCCACCGGCACGGGACAATCCCCAAGCCAAACCTGATATTCCTCTTGAAAGCATCATCCACTGCCCTCGGGGACCACAGGGGATGCCAGGCACTTGTGGGAGAGCTCAGCCACGGGGAGGTGGAGCATGGCAGTGTGCCACCACTCACAGCTGCCCCATGGCATCAGGGCTGCGAGCGAGGGTCTACGCTGGCAGAAGGAGGGGAGTTCTCCCAGCTTTTGCCCACGCTGAGGGGGAAGTGATTCAGCTGGAAGTCCTTGAAGCATCCACTGCCTTGGAGACCCCTGGCCTGATCCTGCACTGGCTCCAGCCCTGCCTGAATGATATTCCCAGCATTGCCTGCACCTGGTTGGGGTGGCATGGAGACAGACTGCTCCTTCCTTCTCCAGGCAGGCAGCTCGTCCCCCGGCCCTCATCCCAGACACCAAAAGCACAACAGCCCCACGTGTGGAGCAGATGGTTCCGCAAACTGTTTCCACGTTACCAGATTTAGCTCACTGATCGGCGAGAGGTGCGCCCACACAGACGCAGGGGAGGAACAGGCAGGTGATGGCAGTGGAAAGGAGACAGCTGCTCTCCACCAGCTGCTGCACCAGGGTCTGGCCAGGGCTGAGAGAGCAAACGGAGATGCACACAGCTGTCCTGACCAAAGATGGGGCAGCACCCTCCATGCTGTCAGCACTGCTGGACACCTGGGGAAGGAGAGGCACCAACACCTGAGGTGTGTGGGCAGAGCTCAGGGTCAAGCTCAGCATCCTCCCGCCCCATGACAAGCACTGCAGCCCCTCTTCCCACAAATATGACTGTCTCCAGCCACCCAGGCAGCTCCTCGTGCCCCCTGGAGGGAACGGGACTCAGGATCTCTTCCTCTGCAGCTCACGTTTCAGTACAAACCCCAGAGGCAGTAAATGATGCAGGTGCCGAGCAGTGACTCAGTCTCCAGCCGCACACGTCCAAATATCAGCAGTGAGAAACATCTCTCAGCAGCACAGGAAGGTTCCTGCTGTGACCAGAGCTCAGGGGCTGCCGGCCAGCTTGTTGGGGCTATGGGGGTCTGAACCCCTTGGGGAAAGGGGGTGTCTACATCCTATCTTCCTGCTTCCCACCCTGCAGCCGCCCTGCGAGAGGCTTTAGGTCCAGCTGCATTCAGACCCCTCAAAAGTGAGTCAAGTCACCGTTCACATGGGCTGGAGAGAAACCCCTGCCTGTACCCTCCTGGGCTCTTACCCCTCGGCGGGGACTTGCAGAGGAAGCCTGTGGGCAGGGACAGTGCTGCTGGGGCTTGTGTCAGCACCAGCCACCCCTCGGGGCAGAAATGCTACTTCCCAAGCCAGGAAACCTGCTGCTCATCTGCCTCCCCTTCGCAGGACTCCTCCAGCCCAGGGGCTGCCTTCCCAGTATCAGCAGCCTCAGACTTGACCCTGGAACCTAACCCAGACCTGGGGATGGGCTGGGTCACCTGCCATCCTCTGTTTTCACTGCAAGGCACTGTCACATAAATGACTGGGTGGCCCTGGGAAACAGGAATGAAATCCAGATCCACAGGGTGCTTTGAAACACCATGGCTGTGCTTCTCAGACAACCCATGCCCTGACAGCATCCCTGCCCTGGCTGAGCTCAAGCTGCTGCTTCCCTCCAAAGGGAAACCATGGCTTCTCCGCAGGACCAGAGTAGGAGATGAGTAAGGGAGAAGGGTTTGTTCCAGCTGTGGAAATCTTTAAGCCTGAAGCCCGGAAACCAGAGGCTGTCAAACCTCTGAATTTTCCGTCTTGTCCCAGTGTCTTGTGCTGCATCAGCTTCACCTCCGGCCCTTGCTGAGTAATTAGGAAAGATAAACCTAAGCAGAGCTGCCAGCCAGAAGGCAGAGAAGTAACTGTAAACAGAGAAAGGCCGGGAAGTTTGAAAGTGCATTTCTAGAGCATCAGCTGGTGGTGTCTGCCACTTTCAAACATATCCATACGGATAAGCCCATCGCCACACTCACATCCCCCGTGTTCCTGTCCAGCCCTTCTGCAGCAACCTGCCCTCTGAAAGGGCCCAGGGACAGAGCTGGGACAAGTGAGCTCCTGGTTCCGGCCACCACGGTCGGGAGCTATGAGGGTGTAAAGGAGAGAAGTAGAATCATAGAATCATAGAATCGTCTAGGTTGGAAGAGACCCTTGGGATCATCGAGTCCAACCATCTACCCTACTCTACAAGGTCATACCCTACACCAGTAAGGCCAGGCTTGCAGGGAGGGACATCTTCTATTAGACCTGCTGGTACCACTGGGACGGCACCAGCCTGGCTGTGCAGCCCAGTCCAGAGTGGAAGGATCTGCTGGGACTGGGAGCAGGAATAAGGTCTTTAGTCCAGAGGATGGGTGGTCAATGCTTGTGCTTGGTTTCAAGCAGGGGAAGCACACAGAGAGCCGCAGCTCGCAGGCTGTCTTGCACCTCAGCGAGACCCTGGCAGCCTGTGGTCTGTGTGGCTGCTGTGAGCCGGGGTGCTGTGAGCGTCGTTGATGCCGCAGCACCATCGCTCGCTCGGGGAATTTGTTACTCACTCTGAAGAGCACAGAGGGATGAGCCACACTACTGATCACACTTCGGTTTCATTTCCCAGCTGAGCGCTGCTGGGACGCGTGTAGGAAAGTGCCCATGTCCCAGCAACCACATGGGTGCTCTGAGCTTGTTTGGGACTCAATGAGAAGTACTGAACTTGAACTTCAGTTTCAGACCTTGACATCCACACTGTCCTTTGGGACTAAGTTTTTACCTGAGCGCTGCTGGGACGCGTGTAGGAAAGTGCCCATGTCCCAGCAACCACATGGGTGCTCTGAGCTTGTTTGGGACAAGTTGAAAGCTGAGTGCCAACTGCCACCAAGCCTGGCTGATATGGCACTGAGGGACGGGGAGAGCAGGAGGGAAGGCTGGCTGCAGAGGACCCCATGGGGCTCCCCAGCCATGTCACCTCCGCTCATGGGGCGGGTGCCTCTGCTCTGTATGTAGGGGGGTGACTCGCACACTGGGTAAACATCCCTGCTTTGGGATAACCCCCCCCCGTACCCCTCGGCGCAGGGTCTCACCCGCTGCTGCCGGGGGGGTGTGAACTCTCCTTGTTCACCCGGCGGCTGCCGGTTCCCCCCGACAGCCCGCGTCCTGGTACTTCCCCCACCCACTTACTGTCTCTGGCATCTTCCGTGCTGGGGATTTCCCGAGTCAGATGTGGTATATATATTTAGGAACCCCAAGAACTCTATGATCCAGGTTATTTCTTTGTAACCCTTTGAACTCTCCTAAAATCCCTCCCTCTGCTCTGTGTGTAGAGGGGTGTCTTGCACACTGGGTAAACGTCCCCGCTTTGGGATAACACCCCCCGTACCCATTGGCGCAGGGTCTCACCCGCTGCTGCCGGGGGGGGGTGAACTCTCCTTGTTCACCCGGCGGCTGCCGGTTCCCCCCGACAGCCC